CTCTGTCACCTGGGCCCCGCAGCTGCCCAGGCCACAGAGCTGTGTCCCAGACCCCCCTGAGCCAGAGTTGTGACTCCACAGAGCTGCTCGCACCATGTGGAAGACGCTCATCTCCTCCAGATGGACTAAGGAGCCGGTGCTGCACATCCTCTTCCGTGTGCTGGAATACTGGCCAGCGCACAGGAGACGCACCTCTGATGGGGATGAGAGGGATGTCTTTGCCCTGGCTGTGAGTTTCTTGAGCTGGCCTCTGCTCGCCCCCAGGTTGCCTCTGGGACGCCTTTCCATCCTCCCTCACCACTGCTTCTCCCTGCCCCAGGCACTGGGCTGCAAGCCTGGCTTAGGGGCAGGTTCAGGGACACCAGGCTGGGGGATCCCCCTGTGTCTCCTCTGGCCTGTCCCTGCCACGCTTGGGCCCTGCCACATGGACATCTGGGCCCTGAGAGCTGTCTCTGGGTGCTTTGTCTTTGGCAGGCAACTGTGGCACTCTGGGAGATCCTCCAGCTGTCCCACTCCTGGTGCCCAGGGGGAGTGAAGGACAATTTCCCACGCCTCCTTCTGACTCTGCTCTTCCAAGTTTTCATCAGCACAGAGGAGATGTCAGAGGAGGTCGAGACCTTCTGGAGGCGATGCCGGGAGCAGCGCAGCCTTCCCCCCAACCCCAACAGGTGCTCCATCCCAGTCCCCTCCCCCTGCCATGCCCTCAGGGCTTGGGCCAGGGCTCTGTGCCTGACCTGGGCTGTGCTCTGCACACAGGTTTGCAGTGCAGACTGTTAAAGCCCTGCTGCGCCAGCTGCTGGGTGAGGACGTGTTGATGGCGATCGGTCGCAAGTGTGGCTGGGACATGCTCCTCAAGGCTGACAGCCACCACTATGCAGTGGGTCTGCTGGCCAGGTGAGAGCCCTTTCTCCCCACTGCCCCTGTCATTTCTGCCCTGTGCACAGGCCACCCCACACAGTGCCCGTGTGCTGGGCCAGAGGGCCTTGGCAGCCAGGGATGGCTGAGCAGAGTGGAAAAGGCGGAGAGGGGCGGCTGCACAGGAGGAGCCACCTCCCAAAGTGCCCACGTCCTCTCCTGGGCTGGTGGCCAAAGACCAGGCCTGTGTGAGTCAGTCCCAGGAGAGCTTTGCCCACCTGGCTCAGGGTCTCTGGCACCTTTATTCCCCCTTGCAGGGAGCTGTGCCGTGTCTCCCGCTCCTTCTGCTGCAGCATCGCCGTCAGCCTGCTCCCGCGGCTCAGCAGGGGAGAGCCCCTGTGGGAACTGCCTGCCCTGGCGTTCCTGGTGGAGGTGAGCCTGATGGCGAGCGCTGCCTGGCCCAGCTGCCTCCCCCTCTCTGCCCTCTCACAGCCGCAGCCGCCCGGGACGGTGCCTGCACCCTGTGCTGCTGCCTGGGCCCAGCCCTGGGCGGGTCTGGGCTCCTGCCGGCCGGGCACCCCGTCACTGCTCCCTGCCTTTCAGGTCCTGCACTGCCTGAACCCCAGACAATGTGGGCCCAGCGTCCTGCAGATTATTTCCAGGCACCTGCGCAGTCAGTGCCCGGAGAGGCGTCGCCTGGCGCTCCGAGGCCTGGTGGTGCTCAGCAAGGCTCCCTCAATGGTGAGCAGGGGGCAGGGGCTGAAGCCGGGCCGGCAGCGTGCGGCTGTGCGAGGCAGTAGCTTGGCCTTGGCTGGCCTTTGGCAGCTGTGGCAGCTGCTCCCAGCTCTCCTCCTCCCCGTTCAGCTGCCCGACTCCTTTGGGACGCACCTTTGGCCTCTGGGCCCCGCGGCAGCAGCGTGGGGCTGCACCACAGCATTGTGTTCCACACAGGCTAAGAGCATGCGGAGCCTGAGTGAAAGCCTCCTGGAGCTACTGCAGGATGCAGACGCAGACACGGTTCAGATGACCCTCTCCGCGTTCATCAACGTGCTGCACTTCCAAATTGTCAAAATATCCACCCCTACTGCCCTGAAGTTGCTTGAGGCGCTGCGGCCACTCTTTGACAACGTAAGGCTCTGTGCCCCTCATCGTGGGCACTGAGTGCTGCCAGGAAACTTTGGGCCCAGTGTCTTTTCAGGCCTGTGCCCCGGTGGGCCTGGAGAAGCCAGTGCTGAGGTCTTTTCCTCTTCCTTTGCACCAGGAGCACAGCCAGCTGCAGCAGCTCTCCATGCTCCTCTTCTGGGAGCTGATGGAGGCGACAGAGAGGAGCAAGAGCCTAAAGCCACACGTGTACCTGAGTCTGGTGCCATTCTACTTCAACTGGCACAATGAGAACCGGCGTGTGGCAGAGGTGAGGACTCGTGGGCTCTGGTGTCCCCATGGCAGGAGGCTGCTGTGCCTCCTGCCCTGGCCCATGGTCACCTGCAGCCTCCTCCTGGCCTTGGCACAGGGATGTGGGTGCTGTGCCCTGGACTGTGGTGCCATGGCCCGCTCTCTGTTGCTGTGCAGGCCTCTTGGAGAGCACTGTTTGGTGCAGCCAGGTTCCTGAAGTGGAGAGATCTTGAGGACTTGGTGACCATGGAGCAGCCGTGGAGGTTTCCCGAGTGCCTGGTAAGGACGGCCCCAAAGCCCCAGCCCCTGATGCCCAATGTGTGGGGCTGGCAGGGTGCCTGTGTCCACTGCTGCACCCACAGACACCAGCCTGTGCCCCACACACTGCTCCCTTCCCTGGGGCATGCGGGCTCTTTTCCAGGCTCCCTTACCCCCGCAGCCAGGCTGCCATGGAGCCCCGGTCCAGCTGGGCTGTGGGGTAGGGCCACCCCACAGCTCCCCAGGAGCACCCAGCCCTCTGCTCCCTCCAAACCCAGCCCCAGCAGCTGCTGGCCAGGCCTCAGGGTTCTGTGGGCAGGGGAGCCCCGTGCTGGGGGCAGGCAGCGCCCGGCCAAGGGGCAGAGCCTGAGCCGAGCCTTCCCTCCATGCCCTGGCGCTCTTTGCAGCTGGAAAAGGACAGGAGCCGAGTGGGCCAGTACGTGCGCCAGGCCCTGCCGTTCCTGGAGAGCCCAGAGAAGCCCCTGCGAAAGCTGGCCATCAAGTTTCTGGGTGAGCCACAAGGCCGGGGTCCCTCCCCGCCCCGCTGCAGCTCGGCCCCAGCCCCGGCTGCTGCAGCGGCAGCAGGATGCGGCCCAGGGCATGTGGAGCCCCGAGTGGCCCCGAGCGCCTGCTGCCGCCCTGTGCCAGCCCAGCCCTGGGGCGTCCCCATGCGGGAAGGCCCCGGGCTCAGCCCTGCCAGGGCAGGAGGCCGTGTGGCCGGGCTGGCAGCGCCGCTGCGGGGGACCTGTGCCTCTGGGGCCTGACAGGCTCTGTGTTCCCAGGGATTGCCGCCAGGTCCATGAAGCAGGAGCAGCCAGAGCTGCAGCTCATCTGCCAGGGTGAGCGAGAGCACCTTCCAGCTGATCCCCTTGGGCCCTGCTCCCTCCTGGCCATGGCAAGAGCTGGCTGGGATGGCCCTGGCAGGAGGGGCTCCTCACGTCCCCACACCTCTGGCCTCTCACCTTGGCTCTCTTCCTTTCTCTTCCAGCCCTTCAAGACATGACTGATGACAGCCCTGCCGTCTCAAACCTGGCCCAGGAAACGCTCCACATCATCAGAGCTGTACGGAGAACTTCATTCTTCCATTTCTGGTAGTCTCCGTTGCTGCCTCTTCCAGCCCATAGAGGTGTGACAGATGACATCAGACTCGCCATGGCAGGCCTGGCAATTCAACACTGCTACGTGCCAAGAGCTGTACAGATGGCTCCCTACTGCAGATTCCAGCAGCTCCAAGACTGGCTGTGCAGGGCGTGGAAGACCCGGCCTTTTCCGCAGGGCAGTGTCTGCCTGTGCTGCTGCAGCCCTGTGGAGAACTGATGCAGGAAGCTCCATCTCCTGGGGCCACCTGAGCCTGTGGGGAAGATGCCTCTTCCCTGCAAACACCCCCTTTGAGCTCAGCATGGGAACATTACATCCATGTTATCACATACAGAAGCCCAGGAGGTTTTTTTGGTGCCCAGTGTGCACAGGGCCTTGGAGAAGAGGGGAAAAGGGCTCCTTGTGCTCAGCAACACTTGCCCCGCTGTGCAGCGTGCCAGCAAAAGTGGGCAGAAGCCCCTTGGCCTTTGATGGCTCTTCTGGAGCCTCAACGCTTGCAGCAGAGTGGAGGGCAGAGGCTGGAGCTGTGGGGAACCCTGAGCACCTTGTCCTTGGAGATGGCCACAAGCCCTCCCCAGCCAGGAAGCAGCGTCTGTGTCCTGCCAGTGTGTCACTGGCTGGATTGCTCCGGGCTCCCAAGTGCCTCTGGAGCAGCTCCTCTGGAGCTCCTTCAGGGCTGCACCACTGCTGGGCAGGTTGGCGGGGCTGGGGGAGACCCGCAGGGGAGGGGGCGCTGGGAGGCCAGGAAGGGGTGAGGTGCTGTGGAGGCCCTGATGGGACAAGGGAGAGGGAAGCCTTGAAGGGAATCTGTGAGGGGGTGGGTGGCAGAAGGCTGCGAGGGGACAGACTGGGCGCAGGCCCCGAGGGGCAGGGTGGAGGGAAAAGCCCCCAGGACTTGGGGGGCAGAGGCCACAAGCAGCCCCCAGGCAGCCACCTCCTTCCCTGCCAGCCGGTTGCTCTGGTGCTTTCCTGAGGCCTCTCCCAGCCCTGTGGCAGAAGCCCTGGAGGCCAGGCCTCAGCAGCAGGGTGGGCACACCCCCGAGGTGGCCAGGCTGGCCTGGCTGGGGACAAGGAGGGCAAGGGGGCCCTGCCAGGGCACGTCCGCCGGGTGCTGCCGGCGAGGGGCAGTGGCACAGGCAGGGCTGGCGGCCAGCCCGGGCCCCCACGGCTGCCCAGGCCACGGGGCTGTGGCCAACACCCCCCTGAGCCAGAGCTCTGGGCCCACAGAGCTGCTGCCACCACGGGCAGGGCGCTGGGCTCCTCGGGCAGGGCTGCGCACTCGCTGCTGCCCAAGCGGCTCCGCGCCCCACAGACAACAGCACCAGAGGCTGCCCAGGAGCAGCAGCACCCACAACGCCTGGGCCTCCTCACCCAGGCACCCACACCCGCCAGGACACCAAAAGTGGGCAGACTGTGGGCACAGTTGCACCCGCTTTGGCAAAAGGCTCCAGGGCAAGTGGCCACCACAGCTTTCCAGTGAATCCTCAGCCTCACAGCAACCCTTGGCAGCTTCAGCTGCAGCCTGACATCCTGACTGACTTCAGTGGCCCTGCTTGAGGCTGGACATGCCTTCCACACTCAGGTGTCCCCAGCCAGCGCCACTGGTGCCATCCTTAGAGACTCTGCTGGGACACCAGCCTCAGGCTGCAGCTGCTCAACCTCTCCTCCACACAGGCACCTTCAAAACACGGGCATGGGCTTCTAAACTCTACGTCCAACACTTGAGGGCAACAAAGGAAGAAGCAGCAGAAGCTGAAGCAAAGCAGGGCCTCGTGTGGCGGAGCTTCACGGATGGAGGGAAGTAAGCACTGTGGTGTCTGCTGAAGAGGTGGCCCAGTTCACCAGCTCACACTTTGCTGCTGGACATTCCTCCCTTGGTCCTGCTGGAGCCCATTCCCTACCAGTGCATGGCCCTGCCTTGTTCCTGGATCCAATCTCCGGGAGCCCTGGCAACAAGTGGGCCCTGTGTCCACCTGAGAGCAGAAACTGGCAGAACGTCTCTGCTTCCAGCACTTCTCTTGGCTGCTCCTGCAGGCGGGTGGCACCTTCAGGGGAGACACAGAACAGCTTCTCATCCCAGACTTCTCCCTGTCCCCTGCACTTCCCCAATGGACTGGACATCAGCTGCTGGCCACAGCTGAGCACACAGACACTGGAGTGTTGAACATGCGAGACTGGGCTGATTTTTTTTTCCAGAAGGCAAGAAAACAAGCAAAAAGAACACAAAAATCTTGAGAGTCTCTCTGTCCAATCTAATTGTCCTGTGAAACTTGGCAGCTGATGGTGGTTTTGTGCTGCTGCTAATCACTTCCACCCAAAAATCATGCCAGGAAGGAGCAACAGCTTCTGCCTTCTGACAGATGCCAAGTCTTGCCACCAATTGCTCCAGGTGCCACTCCCAACAGCCACCTGCAAGAGGGCAGAGCTCAGTGCCCCTTGGCTTTGACTGCCCTCTGGCAGAGAAGTCCCCCAGGGGCACAGCTCTTTGGGGCAGGAGACGGGCAGCAGCCTTGCCAGGACTTGGGGTGGTGGCAGGTCTCCTTGGGCCAGGACTTGCCAGAGGCTGTCCCTCAAGAATCCTGGGAGCAGGCAGGGAATGCTGAGCAGAGCAAGCCCTGCCCGGATGTCCCATCAGGAAGACACTGTTCTAAGGGGAATTCACTGGGTGTACCAACTCTTCTTCATGGCTAGGCTTCGCGAACGAAGATTTGGGAAGGCTCTATCCACATTTGCTGCAGGCACGCTGGTGGCTTATGAGGCCAATACGTGACAGACAAATCCGATTGCAAAAGGCACAGCAGAAAGACTCCTTAGATGGTGTATTCTGCAAGACACGGTTCTTTCTGCGTTGCCTTTTTTCCTCGAGGGTGATCCTGCGTGTGTTCTCGAAGGAGACAGCTGCATTACAGATGGTGTGTCTCCAGGCCTCCCGATTTGAGGCCAGAGTAGACCAGTTATGATGATCAATATGGCCAAGGCTGAGATGTTGTTTCAGGGAGTCCTTGTATCTTTTCTTCGGGGCTCCTCTCATGCGGCAGCCAGTGGCAAGTTCACCGTAAAGCAAGATCTTAGGAAGGCGGTGGTCCTTCATCCTGGAGACATGACCTGCCCAACGCAGCTGTGTTCTCATCAGCATGGCTTCGATACTTGTGATAGCTGCTTGCTCTAGAACAGATGTATTGGTCACATAGTCTGACCAGTGGATGTTTAGAATTGTACGGAGGCAGCGTTGATGGAAGCGTTACCAACTCTTCCTGACTGGCTTAATGACTCAGCCATGGTGTGTCCTTGTCACTCAGATCCCTTCTTGGCCGCACCTGACGTTGTGATTCATGTGACTGACAATACCTTTAACATCCCTGTAAATATTCCTTGTTATTTTAGTTGTATCACAGATCAAAACGTACCTACCCTCCATTTATTATTAATAATTCCCATGGGCAGAAGAGCCAAACTGGGGCTCCCAGGGCAGCAGAAGCTGGGAGGATGAGGCAGGATACAGTGAATTAAGGAAACTGTGAAATGCAGAAATCCTCAGTGGGTGGCTGATTGCTTGGATCATCTCTGCAGCAATCCCGGCAGCTGCCGCAGCCACGGCTCCTGCTGCACTGGCCATTCAGTGCAGGCCATGCCTGCAGTGCCAGTGTATGGCAACTCTGGCAGCATCAGGAGCAGGGGTTCAGAATCTGTCTGGTTTCAATATTCCAAGTCCTCTGGAAGCACATGGGACAAGCCCCAAGACAAGAAGCCCGGGTCCTGGCCCTCTTGGCCGTGAACTCTGTGTGTCCAAACAAAACAGGGGCAGAGGTGGGACCAAGCGGAGTCACTCTGCACCTGCCCTGAGTTCATGGGAATGCAAAGGGAGGATGGACCTTGGCTGAGTGCTTGGAGAGAGAGAAGGTTGTTTCTCCAAGTGGAAATGCACTTGAACCAGCCTGCATGACCAGCTTGTGTTTTTCTCTGGTGGCTGAACACAGCCAGCACATGAGGGGAGGGGAATGTGTGGGATCAGGGCACTGCTTTGGGAATTCCGATGGACTAAAAGACAAACACCAGGTGCTGCTCACGAGAGAACAGGAATAAAAGGGGACACCAAAAAGTGTCAGGGGACAAGTCCCAGAATGGAACTCTGGGTGTGCAGCCTCATTTTCTCCTTCAGCACCCACAGGAGAGGGGGCAAAAAGTGGGGGTTGGGACCCAAAAACTATTCAGGGGGGAAATTGGGGATTGAGGGGACAGTGGGAGAGTAGAAGGAACAGGGAGAGGGGTGGAAAAGGGGGGTGGTCTGGGGGGTCCGACGGTCCCAAGGGGGTCTTTGGGCACTGGGGGGTTGGGAAAGGGGGGTGGTCCCCCTGAGCTCTCAACTTACTCTGGGGTGCTGGGGGCTGCTGGATCCAATCTCAGCCTTGCATTGTGCCAACAGTTTACGTTTAGAGGAATTACAGAGGTGTGACTGAAACACTTTTGTCCCCCGAGTTTAATGATGACAAATCAGATCTATTGACAGAAAATGAATTATTTAGAGTGACAAATCATCAGATAAAAGATCTTCATCTAAATTATTTAGTGAACAATATACACACTAAAACTACCAGTAGTACAGGATAAGATAGGACAGGGCACTACAGCAATTGTTGAAGCAATTCTACTAAAGGTGGCAAACAAGCAATAATTCTTAATTGGAGATGGATGGAACTCCCCCAGACCAACGCTCGTGGGGAGATCTCTGCTCTCAACCTCCAGCAGTGACCTTGGGGGGTCCCCAGCCAAGGCAGGAATCTCCACACACCCCCCAAGAAGGGTTCTGTTGGAAGAAGCTGCCCCTGGGAAAGGGGACTGGCCCTTTCTGGTAGAAACCCATGGACTGACAGTCCTTGGACTCCAGGGGTTCCCTCACCATCAGGGGCTTCATTTGGGGTCAAACCAGTCTGGATTCCAACATCTCCTGGCTTGTCCCGGCCCCCTCTCAGCTCAGCACTGACCCCTTTGCAAATGGGGCATTGTCTTGGTGCCATTGCAGGGGGGATGTCCTGCCCCAGTGTCCCAGTGTTCCTTTAATTGCCAGAGGCCCTGCAGTGTCCCAGTGGCCCCTTGATTCCATGACCTTCTGAAACACCTCAGGGTTCCTTTGGTTCCATGAGGCCCCCAATGTCACAAAGGCCCCTGGATTCCATGAATTCCGCAGTGTCACAAGGTTCCTTTTTTTCCATAGGGCCCTGCAGTGTCCCAATTGTGCCTTGATTCCAGGAGTATCCAAATTCTCCCAGGGTTCCTT